TCGTTTGAGACCAGTCGAATTTGTGTCCGTTGTCGTCTCTGTGTTTAGCTGGAAGTGAGCTATGGTCGTGTCTGTTGATTGCGTTCTGGTGTTCTGTTAGTCTTGTCTGAATCTTTTTAGAAGTTTGTCCAATGTACTTATCCGGACAGTTTTTGCACGGGAAGATATAAATGGCGTTATGTTTATCCGTTATATGTGTCTTGTCTTTGTGTTTAGTGAAGTTGGACCTAAGTTTGCATGTTGGTTTGTGTGCAACGTCAATGTTGAAAGGTTGGAGGAGTCTAGCTGCCATTTCTGATGTAGTGTGTATGTAAGGAAGTGTAATCCTCGTTTTTGTTTGGTAATTTTTGGTAATTGGTAATTGGTAATTTTTGGTAATTTTTGTTTGGTTGTTTTGTTTTTTTTGTGTTTTTTTTGTAATCCTCGTTTTTGTTTTTTTGTTTTTCGTTTTTTTTCGTTTATATATATATATATATATATATATATATATATATATATATATATATATATATATATATATATATATATATATACATATATACAATCCGGAGAACACTGTATAATTTTGTAAAAATTATAATTTAATAAAATGCCTGGATTACGAATCTTCAAATCTATTAAATATATATATATACCGTGTGTCCCAAAAAAAAGTACTCCTGTTTGATTCGTAATAACTTCAAAACAAGTAAAGCTTTTTTAGAGAAATAACTTGCATTAAATAGAGGAAGGACTAACTTAGATTTTGATATATTACAGTTGTATTTAACTTAAAAATTCACGGAGATATTAATCTTTAAAATCGGGAGCATATTTCTGGATGTGTCTGAAATATGCAAAAAACGGCGTATCAAATATTAATCAAGATTTGCCCGACTGAAACATGCACGATTACCAGTAAATAAATGACACTTGACAAATTGTTTATTATGAAACAAAGTATTATTATATCTACAAAATACAAGCAAGATTTATTCGTCCGAAATTCGCGTGTGTTCCTAGCACGAATACGTTTCCTTATTTCATGAGACCACTGCATCTCGAAGGATCGTCATGGATCGTTCGTAGTTCTGAATTAGGGCATGCTGTCACAATGGAATTGTGAAGCACTTCTAACTTCTGCAACGTTCTGAAATCTTGTTAAGAACACCCAAACTCTTTTGCCTTTTCTTAATCTTGGCAAGTTCAGAGTAAACTGAGAATTATATGAAACACAATCAAACCATATAACTCCATAAGACATAACAATTAAGCAACTCCCCAGAGACATGCAACATTTTTGGAACAAAACGTAACAAAATAGTAGCGTTGATATACGGTGATGTGTATTTGCAAAAAGCAATATTATTTCCTTCAATAAAGAATAATATTCATCCTGCTCTAACCGAGAAATAATCAACTCAGTCTGTTTGAACCCATTAAAAACATAAAAAAATTAGGCTATTTAAGAAAAATTTAAGCGCCTGCCTTCCATGGTCTTTCATGTACTTTTAAGTTTGTGAAGACCTAATATTAAATACTAATATTAAATACTTGCATAATTTCGAACGTTCATATTTCAGGAAACAATGAGCTAAGACTTACATGTAAGATGTCTAAATCTACGCCATATCCCTTACAAACTCTAACGATAATTCGCTGAAATACAAGTTAGCCTGATATGTCATTAAGCAAACAAACGCTGGAGTTAATATTTGATATGCCGATTTTCGCCAATTTTAGACACATCCCAAAATATGCTCCCGATTTTGAACATTAATATCTCCATGAATTTTTAAGTAAAATACAACTGTAATATATCAAAATCTAAGTTAGTCCTTCCTCTATTTAATGCAAGTTATTTCTCTTTAAAAGCTTTACTTGTTTATAAGTTATTGCGAATCAAACAGGAGTACTTTTTTTTGGGACACCCGGTATATATATATATATATATATATATATATAGGGGTGCACCGGATTTGGAATTTTCAAATCCGGCCGGAACCGGATTTACCGGATTTGGACAAAAATTCCGGCCGGAATTCCGGCCGGATTTGCCGGATTTGAGATAAAACCGGTAATGGGGACAATTGGGGATAAATTGGGATAATTCAGTATTCAAAATGGCGGTTTATGTTTTTTACTATTTCTAGTTAGTGTCAGTTTAGATTTTTGATTGTGTTTAAACCTTTTTTAAATATAAAATGGCGGTTTATGTTTTTTACTATTTCTAGTTAGTGTCAGTTTAGATTTTTGATTGTGTTTAAACCTTTTTTAAATATATATATATATATATATATATATATATATATATATATATATATATATATATATATATATATATATATATATATATATATATGTTTAAAGATTTGTCATCCAGGCATATTATAATTAACAAGACGCTCTATGGAGCGTTAACTTGCTGGGGCTATACAAATACGCACATTACTGTATATGATACCAGATACAGTACACAGCTGTTTCAATTAAGATCTAAGCCTGGCCCCGAGCTTAGCGGAAAATTCGAATACGAGCGCGAAAGCTCAACACTAAAATGCGGTACCCTACAAATAAAACTTCCGGCGTTTATGGCCCACAAGTAAAGTTATATTTTATAGTACGCTACATTCTTCTGTCGGCCGCCAGTTTAAAACGTCAAAACTAAAATATTTTGGGGCTTATATGTGCTCAAAATATCAAAATGAAGAAAGAAGTGAGACGAATCTACCGGTATATAGCCTACGGTGTAGACCCCTCACGAAACGTGTTTCTGCTGGGGTCTACACCGTAGGCTACTGGTATACGGCCGAAAAAGAGAAAACCAACGATACCAAAGTTATAAAGGATCAAACGTACTACATTTTTTATAATTTGAGTGATTTGTCAAGTACTAAACAAAACATGAGCAGTCGATCTGTATCTGATATATGTCAGATACAGATCGGATGCGAATGTTTTATTGTATTTAAAAAATTACCCATCTTATGAGTTCATTGGCGAAGTAATTTTAAAAATAACATTGTCTAATTCGAGAAAATCAAAGCTGAAGTTTATGTAAATCAGGAAAAATCTTTATCCGATTTAATACAAACATTGATTAAACATTCGGCATTTCTTTTGTATTTTCCTCGTGAATTATTAATGAATTTTTTAACAAATAATACAATTTCGCTTGGCTTTCAAAGACAAAGACCATAAATCGCTAGAATACCGTTGTCAGTTGTTCAGTAATACATTTGACATCCGTAGGTACAATTTCTCATTCGTATAAGGTCTATAAGTACAATTTCTTTAAACGCTGAATCGAACGGTGGTATTTTTATCCTTATTGCGCCAATAGGCATTACAAATATAAGGTCGGGACAAACGGCGAGTAATTTGTCAACAATACAATTTCGCTTGATTTTCAAAGGCCATAAATCGCTAAAATACTGATGTTTAGTAACACATTTGACATCCGTAAGTACAATTTATTAATATTAGGCAATACAAATACAAGGTCAAGGACAAACGTACTGAGAGTGATTTGTCAACAATACCGTACTGCGAGCGATTTGTGAATACAATTTCGCTTGATTTTCAAAGGCCATAAATTGCTAGAATACTGTTGTTTAGTAATACATTTGGCATCCGTAAGTACAATTCCTTACGCTGAATCGAACGGTGGTATTTTTATCCTTATTGTGCCATTAATAGGCATTACAAATACAATATCATATTTCACACTGAGTACACTGCAGTTTTCACGGACTGTTGTTCGATTAAAATTTCATATTGATATGGGCATATGGCACCAATATGCTTCTCATATAAAGTAGTTATTTATTAAAACTACGTTGTGCAGTTTAAGTTATAACCTTTTACCTTGAAATTGTCTTTGGCTCGTTTATATTCAGATTCAGTATATTAATATGATCGTGCATGGGAATTCAACGATCCAAATTTCGGATTTTCAGAGTCGTGCACCAAGAAAAACGCATTAAATAAACTAGCAAGAATGTCCAGAGTAATTAAAGTTCTCCGGATTGAAATATACTTTTATTTTATCGAAATTTCATTATAACCATGAGCCATCAAATAAAAATATAAACACATTATTTATCGTTTAGGTTGGTCCGTACTAAAAAATATTTTCCCTCTGCCTCAGAAGCGGCCTTCGGCTTCGGCCTGAATTGAACGATTAAAGGTCCCACGGGAGTTTTACAGTAGACGTCGCCTAGCTCGGTTTGCAAAGGTAAACTACACATTTTCTCTACAACGCCTGCGTTCCAAGCCACGAAAAGTGGTATACTCGGCAAATTGGCTTAGCAGAACACCAGAAATCTTCTCAACCATAGTTTTGAGGAGGTTAAGACAGAGGCTTCATATTAGTTTTATACGACTAATAATGCACGACACGTTTTCTTTCATTTATAGAACGGGCGACGCTTAACCCGCCAGTTTAATTAGCTAGGGGAAATTAATTTTGTGTTTCACGTTTTGCATGTCTTACCAAGTGCTGTCTCCAATAAACATTTTCGACTGCGCAACGCCTGGTATTCCTCTTGAAACGCCGTAAGTAAACACAGCAAACGTAAAAAAGAGTTCACGAGAATAACCTGAAAAAAGTGAATGTACGTGTTAGCCACTGGAGGAAATTATCATTGATAAATTACCAAATTACCAGGTGGGATCCAGGGTGGAACCCCCTCCAGAAATGATCAGTGTCTCCCAGTACACATTAAAGTATTCATGATTTTTGTATAAAAATCTGCACCCTCCCTCTAGAGATGAGCCGATGTCGGCTACTTTCACTATATAAATGGTCAGCGGTTTCTCTTTGCTTCTAATGGCTTCTCATTCTAAAAGTATTGTTTGGGAATACTTCAAAATTGATAAGAAAGATTAATCGAAGCTTGAATGTCTGGTTTGTAAAGGTAACGGTGCCCGTTCCTTTGTTCTTACGATGTGGAAAGCAGAAAAAGAATTTCAGAACAAACCTGAAAAGTCATCTGCAGTCGCTACATCTCAGCAAGTACATTGAACTGGTAAGCAAGGAGACGAGCTCGATCAGCCGAAAGAAAAGAAGACGACGCAGAAGAAAGTACTACCGCCAGCATGAGGAAAAAGTTGAAGAGTCATGATGAGTCAGTAGTAATATAGGCACCGTTCGGGCCGGATTTTGGTGGCGGAGTGTGGCGGAGTGAGGCGTAGGTAATCAATATTCAGGCGGATTGTGGTGGCAGAGGGAGGTGGAGGTAGGGCGGTGGAGGGGTAGTGGAGGATTTATTATATATGCATGACGTAACTCAAGGCGTGTTTGGGCGAAACAGTCAATATTTTTGCTGAGCTCAACAATTTTTTCGCGTCCCCATGCCATCTAATGACAATTGCTAAGCGTAGGTATAAATTTCGCGAGCGTTTCATTTAAGTATACGTAAATGTATTTTCAACACGCAATGAAAATTCGTTTTAATTCTTTTAATGAATTTGGTGGCTGGTAAAGGAGTAATAAATTTCCAAGCAGGAATAAAAATCGTGACATATTTGAAACAGAAGTTAATATGGTTGTCAACACCGTAATGGTCGATATTTGCATATTACACAGTCATTAAAAAGTGATTAACCCGCCCACCCCATGTGGATATATACAATTTTTTATTTTACCAAGCGGAATACAAGGGGTACATATTTTTCCTTATGGTTAAGGTTAGTATACTGATATATCGAAATTTTGTCTTGCTGACATAAAAAATATGTGCTGCCAAAGTCGTTATACTATAGTCATGACTATTAAGACTATAGTCATGACTATTAAGGCTATAGTCATGACTATTAAGACTATAGTCATGATTATTAAGGCTATAGTCATGACTATTAAGACTATAGTCATCACTGTTAAGACTATAGTCATGACTATTAATACTATAGTCATGACTATTAAGACTGTAGTAATGACTACTATTTAAGAAATAGAAAACATTTTCCGTGTTTCTATAGAGTTATAGAAACACGCGTGAAAGTTTGGGAGAAACGAGAAATTGCGTGGGAAATTGTGTTTTTAAACAGCCTTTTAAAAACAATAGAAAAGATATATTTATTGATTTTAATTGCTTTCATTCAACAATTAATTCCACCTTAATATACGTTCGTGTAAATAATAATTATAAAAGCATAGCGAAGTAAACAAGTATATCGCTGTCAAAACAACAGACAGCACTTAACAGGCTTACTTCAACAACGTACATGCTTGCATGCAAGGAAAGCACTGTTTTAAATAGTTAGTGAACGTTTAAACGTGATTAAAAACTATAGTAAACATGATTAAAAACGTCGCGAGGAAAATATTTTTTTAAAAACACAAAGTAAAATTAAAATGTCTTACCTTGGTAAACAGTCAAACAGATACAACGTGTGCTATAATTATACTTTGTGCTTTAGGTCTTCGCTTTCTAAGTTAGCAAAGTGTTGCCTTTTTTTTGTAACGGTTCTTCGGCGTTTCGGGACGTTTTTCAACTTTTTTCAAGATTAAATATTGTTTGTATTTTGTCTTTCAAACTCCCGCGCAATCCACGCAACCCGCGTGAAAATTCCCCGTGTTTCTATCGAGTTATAGAAACACGGGTTTTTTGAGCTTTTGACCAATCAGCGCCCGTGTTTTTAAAAGGCTATTTTATAAAAGACTATAGTCATGATTATTAAGACTATAGTCATGACTATTAAGACTATAGTCATGACTATTAAGACTATAGTCATGACTATTAAGACTATAGTCATGGCTATTAAGACTATAGTCATGACTATTAAGGCTATAGTCAAGACTATTAAGACTATAGTTGTCGTGTATTTAGATTATACTTTTAACAAAATATGAATAATACATAAGCATGGCCGACCTACATATCTAATGCGCATGTCCGTGCGTATGACCGCTGCCCATCTATATATCTAACACCATCTCCCCTCTTAAGGAATGTATCATAAAATATTGTTCATGAGTTAACTATCGTGTTCGAACAATTATGCTAACCATAACAGTAAGTAATAAAGCAGTTCTCTATGTAGTTTTCTTAAACAGTTTTCGGATCAAACAGTTAAGACCCCACCTCTCGGGTGGTTGGTGTGATCTAGTTGGGTAACGTTGTCCAGATCCTGTTGTAGCCCTACCGGCTTCTTCTTGTTGGACTACTGGTGGATTTGTGGCTAATTCGATATCCGGCTCTGCGACAATTCTTCTGCTGGTGCAATATTCTGGTCAGTCTCTCCGAGCTCTGGATGAGGTTCAGCCGTATCATTACTCTGGTCATTTACTTTCACACTAGAGGCTCGAAGCTGGTCGATGTGACGTCGCCAAATTCGATTTGGACCAACTTTTATCTCGTATGAAAGGGATCCCGTTTGAGCACGAACTATGCCTGGTAGCCACTTGTCTTTCCCACTGTAGTTACGTGCCATGACAGTCTGACCAATGGATAATTGACGTGTGGGGGAATGTCCTTTCCTCCCTGCTTGATCGATTTGCCTGTTCATCACTTTCATTTGTAAATCAGGTTTCACCAAATCGAGGGGAGTCCGTAGCGGTCTGCCCAAAAACAACACGGACGGTGATTCTCCAGTCGTCGAATGCGGTGTATTCCGGTAAGCCAAAAGGAACTTTGCCATATTGGTTTTCAGCTGGGATGTACTTTGTTTCTCGCATTTCATAGCATGTTTGAAACTCTGAACAAAACGTTCTGCTTGACCGTTGGTTGCAGGGTGGACTGGCAAGGGCTCAAATTGTGTGGCATAGAAGAGGCCCACTGGATCTGGCTCTTCTTCTGGTGTCTCATTATGCAAGGGTAATCGAGACAAACCATCCGCATTTCCGTGTAACTTAGTGTTCTTCTATCTGATTGTATAGTCAAAACCCGCCAAGAACAAAGCGTAGCGTTGTAATCTAGCAGCAGTGATAGCAGGAAGGCTTTTGCTGGGATGAAAGATTGAAGTGAGAGGCTCATGATCAGTCAGTAAGGTAAAGTTCATACCGAAAAGGTAATTGTGGAATTTCTTGACTCCCCACACTGTAGCCAGCGCTTCTTTATCTATCTGTGCGTAGTTGCGCTCCGCCTTCGATAGGGATCTCGATGCAAACGCTATCGGGCGCTCTGTGCCGTCTGTCATAACATGGGACAGTACCGCTCCAATCCCTACAGGTGAAGCATCACAAGCCAGTTGTAAGGGAAGGTTAGGGTCATAATGTGTAAGCACCAGATCTGAAACAATCATTGCTTTCACTTTGCAAAAAGCTTCTTCGCATCTGTCCATTGATCTGTCCAGTTCCATTGGTAGTTACTTTCCAGCATTTGGTTCAAAGGATGCAGGATGGTAGCAGGAATTTGTGGTAATAATTCACCAATCCCAGGAAGGAGCGTACCTCTGCAACACTCTGGGGGCGAGGGGCATTCACCATTGCAGCTGTCTTGTCGGTGGTCTTGTGCAGGCCTTCGCTATTAATGTCGTGGCCACAGAACGTGATCTTTTCTTTGAAGAACTCACACTTCGATTTATTGGCCCATATTGGCCATATGCTCTGCGTCGCTTTTACCCGTCACAATCATATCATCTAGGATACAACTAACACCAGAAGTTCCTTCCAGAATTTGATCCATGGTACGCTGCCAAATGGCGGGAGCCGAGGTAATACCAAACACCAATCGATTGTATTGAAACAAGCCCATGGACGTATTAATTGTAAGGTACTTCTTGGATTCTTCCTCCAACTCAATCTGATGGTAAGCTTGGCGGAGGTCAATCTTGGAAAACTTTTTCCCACCAGCTAAATTGGCAAGAATGGGTTAATAGTACCTTTGAAGTCCCCAGAAATACGGACTGAACCATCTTGTTTCGGCACTGGTACAATCGGTGTCGCCCAATCACTCCACTCTACTTTCGACAAAATACCTTCGCTCTGAAGTCTCTTCAGTTCTTCCTCCACTTTCGATCGTAAGGAATATGGGACCTGACAAGCTTTGCGAAACTGCGGTTGACTACCTTCTTTGAGGGTTATCCTTGCTTTGGCAGATTTGAAAGTCCCCAGCTTGTCTTCAAAAACATCTGCATACGTATCCAATAGGTTTTTCAGCTTCTCTTGTGTAGTCATGCCAGGGTTTCTATGGCTGAGATCTGAGGATTTCAACAACTTGATGGTTTTCCAGTCGAGGCGAAGCTTGTGAAGCCAATCTCGACCCATTAACACTGGACCCTTAGTCTGGACTACATGGAATGGCAATAGACATGATTGATCTAAGTATTCAACGTGCATGGTAAGGCAACCAACTGGAACGATCAGTTCACCAGTATAGGTCTTTAGTACAGTGGTTGTTTTCTCTAACTTCTTGTCGCGAAATCTTTCCAACAACATGTCATATGGCAAAATGGACACGGCCGATCCTGTGACTAGTTCCATGGATAGTGATTGATTTTCAACTTTCACGTCAACCCATATGACATCACTGCTTGATTTGTTTACATTATGAACTTCTAGGTTATTCAACAAATGCCTATACTCATCTGGTTCGCTCTCTATGGCATGGGTCGATTTCTGGTATCTTGATCTGGGCGAGGGTCGACCGGGCCCTTGGGTTTGTTGTGCCCGGCAAGCTCTTTGAATATGACCTCTCTTTCCACACTTGTGACAGACTTCTTTCCTAAATTTACACTCAGTTGCAACATGGGTATTAGCTCCACATCGATAACACACTACAGGAGAAGGTGGGCCACTATCTGATCTATTCGTGGGTCTGTTCAGTGTCAGTTTGTCAAGACCAAGGGGTTTTTCTTCTCTACACTCGCTGTGGATCTCCGTAGCATCTCGAGTGGCTGTTTCCATAGCAACAGCTATGTCAACAGCTTTGGAGAATTTTAATTTCGACTCTGCAAGGAGACGTTTCTGAATTTGCTGATTACTTAATCCACACACCAATCTGTCGCGCAAGGTTTCTTCCAAGTTACTTCCAAAATTGCAATGTGTGGTTAATTTCTTTAACTCAGCTATATAACTTAAAATGCTCTCCCCTTCTTGCTGATTTCTCTTATAAAAACGAAACCGTTCGGCTATTTCTAGTGGTTTAGGATTTAAATGCTTCTGTAATGTACTTACTATTTCATCAAAGTTCTTGTTTGCAGGCTTTTCTGGCAAAAGTAAATCCTTTAATAATGAATACGTTTTGCTTCCAATCAAACTCAGCAGAGTTGGCACATCGTTTGCTGCGAAAAAATGTTGTACACGTTCGACATACGTCTCCCAGCTTTCTTGGGTTTCATCAAAAACATCTATTTTTCCAATCGTCGTCATTTCTGGACTTATAACAATCCCAAATTCGTCGCCACTGTCGTGTATTTAGATTATACTTTTAACAAAATATGAATAATACACAAGCATGGCCGATCTACATATCTAATGCGCATGTCCGTGCGTATGACCGCTGTCCATCTATATATCTAACAATAGTCATCACTGTTAAGACTATAGTCATGACTATTAAGACTATAGTAATGACTACAATAAGACTATACTTATGACTATTAAGGCTATAGTTATGACTATTAAGACTATAGTCATGACTATTAAGGCTATAGGTATGACTATTAAGACTATAGTCATGACTATTAAGACTTTAGTATAAACCTACTAGTAGGCTATCACATATCGTGGCTTCTGATTGGCTACGCTACTAGTAGGCTATTAGTGATAGCCTACTAATAGAAAATTCAAAATGGCGGAAAATTCGCGTTTTGCACTTTTGCCGAAGTGTCTGATGATTTTTTTGGACGACTTGTTGAACAATTCTGTACTAAAAAAAAACACGAAAAAGCAACAAAAATATGGAATGGCAATTTTTAAGGGTAAGAAAATAGACAAAATAACATACACTCAATGAAATTTTAAAATTAAAACTGAATTTTGTAAAACATTTTACGCGAACAAAAACTAAAATACTTGTTTACCTTTAATGGTTTTATAATGTTTTTTGTGTATTTTTGTATTGTGTTTGCAGCCCAATCACTCCACTCTACTTTCGACAAAATACCTTCGCTCTGAAGTCCCTTCAGTTATTCCTTACGAGCTTTGCGAAACTGTGGTTGACTACCTTCTTTGAGGGTTATCCTTGCTTTGGCAGATTTGAAAGTTCCCAGCTTGTCTTCAAAAACCTCTGCATACGTATCCAATATGATTTTCAGCTTCTCTTGTGTAGTCGTGCCAGGGTTTCTATGGCTGGGATCTGAGGATTTCAACAACTTGATGGTTTTCCAGTCGAGACGAAGCTTGTGAAGCCAATCTCGACCCATTAACACTGGACCCATAGTCTGGACTACATGGAATGGCAATAGACATGATTGATGTAAGTATTCAACTTGCATGGTAAGGCAACCAACTGGAACGATCAGTTCACCAGTATAGGTCTTTAGTACGCTTGTTGTTTTCTCTAACTTCTTGTCGTCGCGAAATCTTTCCAAGAACATGTCATATGGCAAAATGGACTATAGTCATAACTATTAAGACTATAGTCATGACTATCAAGACTATACAGCGTGTATCTCTTCTAAATGTTTATCTAAATGTTTCTCTTATGTTATGGAATTTTTACACAGTGAATTCTATAGAGAAACATTTTTTCCGAAGCAAAGTTCTAATTCTAATTAAATGTCTCATGGGAGCGAAGCGAACTAGCATGCAAAGGTAGCTTACGGTGTAGACCCCAGCAGAAACACGTTTCGTGAGGGGTTTACGAATAAACGAAGAAAAGCTTGCCCGGCTACGTCATATCCGTTTTACGTTTTGGGTAAATTAACTTCAATTTATTCAAATTTATGACGTGTGCGCGCTTTATATTAAAATGTTCCATGGACCATGGTGGGCTTTGTGCAATACAAATGTGTTCTTTGCTTCAAAGTCCCGTCGAATAAAAGCGATAGTAATTTCTTGGACAGCAAGGGGAACATACGTAAGGAGTTAGACGACCTTTCCTTCTCCATTTTACCTTCAAATAGCATTTGTAAAGCCTGTCTGGCGTTGGTAAACAAACGGAGAAGCTTCAAAAAACGGTTATGTGAACTAGACAATACGATAACGAACAGGCACGAAACAGCATTAAACGCTATTGGTATACCGCTTAAAGTAAAGTGAAATGTCGTGAGGAAACTGGGATTCGAGCCGACTTGCGATAAAACTTTTAAGCCGGCTATATTTAGCGTGAAATCGACTTTGTCTTCGACTGCAGAAATTGGATGTCTTGACAACCAGGGCAGCTCTTGGCTAGGTGCTCAATGTCCTTATCAATTTTGGGCCACCAGATGTAACTTCGCGCCAGAGACTTCATTTTAACAATACCGAGGTGACCTTCGTGGAGCTCGGTTAACACTTGATTACGCAACTTTGCAGGAATGATTGCTCTGTGTCCAAGCATTAGGACACCACAGTGAACTGTCAGTTCGTCTTTCCGCTGGTAAAACGGTTTAATCGCTTCATCTTGTGGAGTGGACCATCCTTTCATAACTAACTCATGGACCTTCACCAATAGAGGATCTCTCTGTGTTTCTCGTTTGACCTGTTCTGCTGTGACTGGCAAGGGCTCAAACTGTGTGGCATAGAAGAGGCCCACTGGATCTGGCTCTTCTTCTGGTGTCTCACTATGCAAGGGTAATCGAGACAAACCATCCGCCTTTCCGTGTAACTTAGTGTTCTTGTATCTGATTGTATAGTCAAAACCCGCCAAGAACAAAGCGTAGCGTTGTAATCTAGCAGCAGTGACAGCAGGAAGGCTTTTGCTGGGATGAAAGATTGAAGTGAGAGGCTCATGATCAGTCAGTAAGGTAAAGTTCCTACCGAAAAGGTAATTGTGGAATTTCTTGACTCCCCACACTGTAGCCAGCGCTTCTTTATCTATCTGTGCGTAGTTGCGCTCCACCTTCGACAGGGATCTCGATGCAAACGCTATCGGTCGCTCTGTGCCGTCTGCCATGACATGGGACAGTACCGCTCCAATTCCTACAGGTGAAGATCACAAGCCAGTTGTAAGGGAAGGTTAGGGTCATAATGTGTAAGCACCAGATCTCAAACAATCATTGCTTTCACTTTGCAAAAAGCTTCTTCGCATTGATCTGTCCAGTTCCATTGGTAGTTACTTTCCAGCATTTGGTTCAATGGATGCAGGATGGTAGCAAGGTTTGGCAGGAATTTGTGGTAATAATTCACCAATCCCAGGAAGGAGCGTACCTCTGCAATACTCTGGGGGCGAGGGACATTCACCATTGCAGCTGTCTTGTTGGTGGTCTTGTGCAGGTCTTCGCTATTAATGTCGTGGCCACAGAACGTGATCTTTTCTTTGAAGAACTCACACTTCGATTTATTGGCCCTTAACCTATGGTGGTACAGCCGTCGAAGGACCTCCTCCAGGTTAGCCATATGCTCTGCGTCGCTTTTACCCGTCACAATCATATCATCTAGGATACAACTAATACCAGAAGTTCCTTCCAGAATTTGATCCATGGTACGCTGCCAAATGGCGGGAGCCGAGGTAATACCAAACACCAATTGATTGTATTGAAACAAGCCCATGGACGTATTAATTGTAAGGTACTTCTTGGATTCTTCCTCCAACTCAATCTGATGGTAAGCTTGGCGGAGGTCAATCTTGGAAAACTTTTTCCCACCAGCTAAATGGGCAAAAATGCCTTCGATTCGTGGCAGAGGATACTGTTCTGCTTGTAATGTTGGGTTAATAGTACCTTTGAAGTCCCCACAAATACGGACTGAACCATCTTGTTTCGGCACTGGTACAATCGGTGTCGCCCAATCACTCCACTCTACTTTCGACAAAATACCTTCGCTCTGAAGTCTCTTCAGTTATTCCTTACGAGCTTTGCGAAACTGTGGTTGACTACCTTCTTTGAGGGTTATCCTTGCTTTGGCAGATTTGAAAGTTCCCAGCTTGTCTTCAAAAACCTCTGCATACGTATCCAATATGATTTTCAGCTTCTCTTGTGTAGTCGTGCCAGGGTTTCTATGGCTGGGATCTGAGGATTTCAACAACTTGATGGTTTTCCAGTCGAGACGAAGCTTGTGAAGCCAATCTCGACCCATTAACACTGGACCCATAGTCTGGACTACATGGAATGGCAATAGACATGATTGATGTAAGTATTCAACTTGCATGGTAAGGCAACCAACTGGAACGATCAGTTCACCAGTATAGGTCTTTAGTACGCTGGTTGTTTTCTCTAACTTCTTGTCGTCGCGAAATCTTTCCAAGAACATGTCATATGGCAAAATGGACTATAGTCATAACTATTAAGACTATAGTCATGACTATCAAGACTATACAGCGTGTATCTCTTCTAAATGTTTATCTAAATGTTTCTCTTATGTTATGGAATTTTTACACAGTGAATTCTATAGAGAAACATTTTTTCCGAAGCAAAGTTCTAATTCTAATTAAATGTCTCATGGGAGCAAAGCGAACTAGCATGCAAAGGTAGCTTACGGTGTAGACCCCAGCAGAAACACGTTTCGTGAGGGGTTTACGAATAAACGAAGAAAAGCTTGCCCGGCTACGTCATATCCGTTTTACGTTTTGGGTAAATTAACTTCAATTTATTCAAATTTATGACGTGTGCGCGCTTTATATTAAAATGTTCCATGGACCATGGTGGGCTTTGTGCAATACAAATGTGTTCTTTGCTTCAAAGTCCCGTCGAATAAAAGCGATAGTAATTTCTTGGACAGCAAGGGGAACATACGTAAGGAGTTAGACGACCTTTCCTTCTCCATTTTACCTTCAAATAGCATTTGTAAAGCCTGTCTGGCGTTGGTAAACAAACGGAGAAGCTTCAAAAAACGGTTATGTGAACTAGACAATACGATAACGAACAGGCACGAAACAGCATTAAACGCTATTGGTATACCGCTTAAAGTAAAGTGAAATGTCGTGAGGAAACTGGGATTCGAGCCGACTTGCGGTAAAACTTTTAAGCCGGCTATATTTAGCGTGAAATCGACTTTGTCTTCGACTGCAGAAATTGGATGTCTTGACAAGCTTGAACAGTGAATTTTTTGAACTAAACATGCACTTACAACAAATCGTGTTAAAATATACCCTGACTATATACATACATATATATATATATATATATATATA